TGGTATTCCTGGATAGTTTTCAGAAAACCGGGGAGCAAGAGCTGTTCCAGTTGGAAAACAGAGAGCCCATCCAAAAGTAATACATTAACCTAACCAAACCCCAGAAAGATAAGGAGGTTTCAATCAGCAGAAAGTATACCTAAAACATGCCTGGTCACTCCCTAAATTGAAACCTAATAAAGAGCTACTTATGTGCTGTGCATCACCTGCACAATATTTCTAGCTATTCTTTTTGCAATAATACACTGTAATTTTATTTTTATAATAAAATCTGCCTCAACTCCACCTCCTAAATTCCAGTCTAATAAATCTGTTTATTAATTATCAATTGGCTGCACAATATTTCTGGTTATTGTTAGTGGAATATTGCACTCTAAATATAATTTATTGATAAACAATTTATATACTGTAAACTAAAGAAAAACTTCCTGTGCTTGGTGTAAAAAAACAAAACATACAGTATAAAAGCAGCACTTCGTAATTCCTGAATACTGTACAAAAAAATATATATATATAGTCACAATAAGGTGCTTACTTTATTGCACCATATTGTGACTATATATTGATAAAACATACCTCATATTTTCCTTTGAAATTGTGGTGTGATAAGGCTGCTAACATACTATGCATATACAATATTTCTGGTTATATTTTGTAAATGTACTGTATGTCCAGATTGAAACTGAAAAAAAATACATGTTTTTTTTGATGGCTTAAATAAGAAAAACCTCTTTATTGGTCTGTTTTAAAAAAGATATTCTATATATTGTTTCCTCTTTCATTGGGTTTTATGAGGGCAACCTCTAACTCCATTTCAATTATACTATCAAAACCCTCCATGTCAGAAGAGACCAGGAATTCAGTTGAGGCCAAATTGAAAAGCTGTTTTCCATCAGAGAACCATGTGGAGACCAAAGAGAAACATAGAGAAACCAAAGAGAACTCCATGTTGATATCCATACCTCTGCAAGGCCAGTATCTGAGCTGTTGGTCTTATCTTGCAAGAAGCCCATAAAAAAAGAGATTTAAAAATAAATTTTAAGGGGATGCTTTGGAACACACAGAAATGTGCAAAGACATAATACTAAAAATTAAAAACAAATAGTATTGGTGTGCATCCTATAGCCCAGAAGCTTTGTAGAGCATTGGGGCCTCTAGTCCTAGGTCCAAATTTTACCTGTTAACCAGACTTCACTATTTAGTCAGCTGTGTATGGACATTTTATATCTGAGCTTACCAGTGCTATAGGCTCTCTCTCTAACAATGAATACATGTCCCAGGTTGGGAGCTCAGAACGTTTTGAGCTAGGGACCACAGTTTGCAGAAGTACCAGCAATGTGTTTGCAGATATATGCAACAAAACCTCTGTTTGTAACTTGTGCACAGCCACAGCCTTGAGGTGTCCAAGTAACATCTAATCCAACTGGAGCTAATCACAATGCAAACTACTTGTGTGAAAACCCTGAAAGTTTCTTTTTAATGCCATTCATTATATATGAAGCTTTGTGATACCTGGACCATTACTAGAAAGTATGCTACTGGTGGACAACACGCTATAAAGTACTGTATATCTTTATATCGGAGAAACTTCTGTGAACAATATAGATAAAGCAGTTTTGCGTCAAGCTTTCTATGTCGATTATGTACACCATGCACTTCCTTCCAGAATATAGATGAGCTGCTTAATGCTGCAGACTAACAATGATCTTTAATTTATGCACATAATCTAGTCGATAATTCTTTATCTTCTTTATTCTGATTACACTGATGGCACAGCTGCCCATTTAATTATGAGCAAATTGCTCTGCGGATTCCTCTGTTTTTACTGTAAATTGCATGGTTTAGGCAACAGTAGCAGAAAAGCTTTAGGGTCGACTCTTACATTTATGAGAATTTGTGATGTCCTTGCTTGTTTAACAGCTGTGGAAATCAATATGACCATTTTTTTAAGTTTGTCGTAAATCTCTGTGGCATGTAAAATGTGCTAAGCAAAAAAAAAAAAATGGTCAAAACTTTTTTAGGATTTCTCAGAGAAAACTTTGAGGAAACTTTGCAAACATAAGCGTTCATTAAAAGACTGGATCAATTTTCTGCAATAGTGCTGTTTTGGCAAAAGAATCTAAAATGTTTAACACATTTCCTGAATGCTGCCAGCAAAAAGTATACTCTCTGCAAGACTTATGACATATGCTATAGCACATGGTGGTGAGTCACATAGCTATTCACACTCGAGTGTGTTCTGACATGTTCTAACTTGCACTTGCTTGTATATGTGCTTTGTGCTGATAGTGGAAAATGAGTGACAGGGATCTGGAACAGCAGATTAACATCAAATTTTGTGTGACAGCTGGCAAAAGTATGAGTGAATATTCCATGAAGAAATCATGTGTTTTTAAATGGCATGTGAGGTTTAAGGAGGGGCAGGAAGATATCCATGATAATACAAGAAGCTGGAAGCCAAAAAGGCAAATGTTGAGTGTGAACCCTCGTACACTCAGATCGAAGATTGAGAGTGTGAATGATGGCAGAAGAATTGAACATGAACAGGGAAACAGTGCGGCAGAGTCTAACAGAGGATTTGGTAATGAGAAAGATTTCTGCAAAGATGGTGCCTCGAATCCTGACAGAAGGTCAGAAAGAACATTGTCTTCAAATTTCATCTGAACTTTTGAAGAATGCAGAGGGCGTGTGACATTTTTTGTACAGTCCAATCCAGGAATGATATTGTCCCACCTCATATAATATCAAAACTGGAGTTTTTGTCACAGCATATAGGGGGTAGATTAAGTAGAGAGGGTTTGAATTCTTGGTATTGTTGAGGTCCTGGTTAGGTTGGTGTATAACCAAGTATTGGCAGGTTACAAAAAGCTCAACACCTTCAATATAATAAATACAGTCATGGGCACAAATATTGGCACCCCTGCATTACTGTCAAATAATGCATAATTTTGCCAAGATAATTGTTGCAATTACAAATGTTTAGGCATTCTCATGTTTATTTCTTTTGTTTGTATTTCTTATGACAAAAAAGTGGAGAAACAAAAAGCCAAATATGACCCCAAAAACAGACTGAACAAATTATTGGCAATCACCCACAATTTAATATTTGGTAGCACACCCCTTGGAAAAAATAACTGAAATCAATTGCTTCCTGTAACCATCAGTGAGTTTCTTTTACCTCTCTACTGGAATTTCGGACTACTCTTCTTTCGCCAACTGCTCCAGGTCTCTCATATTGGGAGGGTTCCCAACTGCTGTTTTGAGATCTCTCCACAGGTGCTCTATGGGATTGAGATCTGAGATCTGGACTCATTGCTGGCCAGTTCAGTACTCCCCTGTGCCTTGTCTGAAACCATTGCTGGGTGCTTTTTGACGTGTGCTTTGGATCATTGTGCTGCTGTAAGACCCATGACCCCTGATGGAAGTCACAACTTTCTGACACTGGGCCCTACATTGCACCCCAGAATTTTTTGGTAGTCTTGAGATTTCATAATTCCATGCACACGGTCAAGACATCCAGGGGTTTATTTACTAAAGCTGGAGAGTCCAAAATCAGACTCCCTTCTGCATAGAAACCAATCAGCTTCTAACCTCAGCTTGTTCAATGAAGCTTTGGCAATGAAACCTGGAAGCTTATTGGTTTCTATGCAGAAGGGAGTCTGATTTTGGACTCTCCAGCTTTAGTAAATAAACCCCCATGTGTCTGAAGAAGCATAACAACCCCAAAACATCAGCGAACCTCCACCATGTTTGACTATAGGGACTGTATTCTTTTCTTTAAAGGCCTCGTTTCTTTTTCTGAAAACAGAATGGTGGGTTTTTCAAAAAAGCTGTAAGTTTGTTTCGTCTGCCCACAGCACATTCTCCCAAAAGGATTTTGGCTTCTTCAGGTAAGTTTTGGTAAACTCCAATATGGCAATTTTTTTTGTTTCTGTGTCAGCAGTGTGGTCCTCCTGGGTCTTCTACTATAGCATCCCTTTTCATGGCAACATATAGTGCGAGCTAACACAGTTGTACCCTGTGCCTGAAGGTCAGCTTGAATTTGTCTGGAAGTTGATCGAGATTCTTTATCCACCATTCAAACAATCCTTCACTGCAATCTTTGATCAAGTTTTTCTCTTTCGTCCACGTCCAGGGTGATTAGCTACATTTTCATGGGCTGCAAACATCATGATAATGTTGCACAGAGTGGACAAAGGAACATTATGATCTGTTAATTGATACATTTGAGTTTTATTACAAATTACAGGAGCATCACAAACTTGGAATGCAATTATTTCTTAGAAGTTTGAGAAGGTGCCAATAATTTTTGTCCAGTCCATTTTTGGAGTTTTGAGTGGAATGTGTCATACTTGGCTTTTTGTTTCTCCACTTCATACCAATACAAACAAAAGAAAAAAACAAGAGAATGCCGAAACATTTGTAACTGCAACAATATTCTGGGCGAAGTGGTGCATTATCTGACAGAAATGCAGGGGTGCCCATATTTTTCTTTGGAGACTTCCTTATAGATGTGAAGAGTTAGAATTTCTTAAGTGCAGTTCTTCATATAAAGTCCCTTTAACTCTCTGGCTGGAGTTTCAGCACATTTCATCCAGTAGGTGTGTGATTAGTCCAGCAGCAACAGTCAGCTCTGCAGCAATCCTCCTTCCCTCTGAAGTATTCTCTGTCAGCTGGCATGTTCTTCCCCTGCATTGCCTCCTCTCCTATCAGTGCAGTGACTGCAGCTGTTCCCCTGGTATTATCTCCCATGAATCACTCCTCTGTGCAGAGTTACTTTTGTGTTCTCTCACACTCTCTCCATGTATTTTCTTTGCCTTTATTTGCTGATAAAACTCTGATCCCCAGTCTCACTGTAGCTCTTTTCTTAACTCACCTCACAGCTGCCCAACACTTCCTTCCCTCTCTGGTCTCGCACCAGGGGGTTCCCCATGTAACAGTTTAATGTATTGGAACAATTACTAGGTCCTTGTAAAACTATAGTAGAATAAGAAATAGAGCACAAATACAAACATTTGTCCAGATCAGGGGCGGACTGACCATTTGGAAACTCGGGCACTGCCCAAGGTACCGGGGTCAGTAGGGGGCCCCATGAGATGCCCCTGGTACCTTTTTCATAGGCTTTTTTGAGTTTGGGCAAGGACACAGGGGCCCCATGATCCGCTATTGCCCGGGGGCCCCCTGAATTGTCAGTCCGCCCCTGGTCCAGATGAGTCCTATTTGTATTGATACAAAAAGTCAATGTATTTCATTGCATTTCAAAGGACCCCTTTGTCAGGGACTGGGAATGTAGAAAGAACTGAGCTCAAGTTGAATAACAATAGGATTCTCAGCGGAAAATATATATAGTATTCAAAAGCATCTGCTGCCAGTGCCCAGTTTGACAGCTGAATTAGACAATGGAAGCAGATGCTTTTGGATACTTTTCCAAGCCTTGATAAATGGGGAACTTTAAGAAACCCAATTGCACCAACAAATAAAATTGTTCCATACAAATAATTTTGGATTGGTGCTCTACTCCTTATTCTTCTTTATCAAAGTGTGTCAGTGCACTACTGACTAAATGCCAACATTGTCTCTAGCATGTTTCAAGTTTAGTACAGTATGTTTAACTGCTTCCCGACCGCCCTAAAGCAGACACACAGTATATACATATATATGTGATTTTGCATTTGCGGGTAGGGGGCATGCGCGAGCCATGCACACGCCCTGCCTGCGCGGCCATTCGTAGCTGTCAATCACCGGGTCCCGGCCGGTGATTACTCGCCGGCGCCCGGTGATTCACGAACATCTCCGATGGGGAGGAGAACTGTTTCTAAACAAAACAGTTCTCCTCCCTGTCAGCTTGTTCACACTGCTTTGGATGGCTGTACAAAGCACAGCCATCCAAAACAATGTGCTTACAGTGAAGCACCAGCACACAGCACATTTAACCCTTTGATCGCCCCTTATGTTAACCCCTTCCTGCCCAGTGCCATTAGTACAGTGTCAGTGCATTGTTTTTAGCACTGATCACTGTATTGGTGTCACTGGGGATGTCAGTGACACCAAGTTAGTTCGCTCCAGTGTCAGAATGCCCACCGCAGCCCCGCTATGATTGCTGCCATTACTAGTAAAAATAATAAAAAAAATCCCAGTATACATACAGCCATTTGTGAATGCTATAACTTTCACATAACCAATTAATTTACACATATTGGGATTTTTTTTTAAGCAAAGATGTACCAGAATACATTTTGGCCTAAATTTATGAAAAAAATCAGATTTTTTACTGGACATATTTACTGGACATGTTTAATAGCAAAAAGTAAAAAATATTATTTTTTTTTCAAATTTCTTTTTTTTATAGTGCAAAAAATAAAAAATACACAGGTGATCAAATAAAACCGAAAGAAAGCTCGATTTGGGGGAAAAAAAGACATACATTTTATTTGGGTGCAGCATTGCATGACCGTGCAATTGTCAGTTAAAGTAAAGCACTGCCATAATGCAAAAAATGGCCTGGTCAGGAAGGGGGGTAAATCCTCTGGAGGGCAAGTTGTTAAAGCAGTAATAAGCCCAAAAGCAAGTCTTGATTATATTACAGCTTACCAATTTTTAGATTTGGTGGCTGTATCAGTTTTCATTTTAGGCTGTCTTTCCCTTATTTTCACCTTGCGATCTGGCCAGTAAATCTGTTGTTTTTCAAAAGAACAAGCTCTCTTGCAGATGTAGCAGTTAGAGCGATGAGCGATGGAAACACTAGGTTAAAAAAAAAGTGTTACCTAATATGGCCTTTGGCATCCAAGACGGCCTGAATTCCCTTGGAAATTGACAAATATACGTTTTGGATGGTGGACAATGGAATCTGATACCACTCTTCATGCAAAAGTCATTCCAGTTCTCGCAGAGATGCTGAAATTGACCATAGTGACTCTATGATATTAAGGTCTGAGTCCAGCACCATGTTGTTGTCTTCCAGTAGAGTTCCTTCCTGTGTGTTCATTTTACTGACTATTACTGCATGCTATTGCATTATTTTCAGTTGCTTTGTACTGTTTGAACTTGTATACATGCTTCTGTACAAACTGATAACTCTATTCAAATAAATGGCCCTGTTTCTGTAAACCTTTTGATATAAAAACATAGCCCTTACCCCTGGAGGAGCCAGACCTCTCAGAGGCTACCAGCCCTGGTACAGCTCCAGAAGCCCTCCAGCAGAATCCAAGCTGAGGCTAGGGGTGTTTTAAGTCTTATTGCAAATCAGGAACATAGACAGAAATGAAGGATGAGGGTGCAGGATGCTCAAAAGCATATGCAGGTCTTGGAGGATAGATTCTCAAACAAAGTCTTGCTTCAGCAGCAGGGATGGACTGACAACTCATGGGGCCCCTGGGCAATAGGGGATCATGGGGCCCCTGTGTCCTTGCTCACACTCAAAAAAAGCCTATAAAAGGTACCAGGGGCATTTAATGGGGCCCCCTACTGACCCCGGGCCCTCGGGCAGTGCCCGAGTTCTCGAATGGTCAGTCTGCCTCTGTTCAGCAATATTGAGCTCACAGTAGCAGTCTCAAAGTAATGCTGGAAGTAGAGGGGACAACCCCTTAATCTGAGACTCTATATGAGCAGTCACAGTCCTTGCAGCAACCTCTGGTGTGTAACCCTCAAAGTACTTGCACACCGGGAGCTGTAGTGAAGGGTCCTACTCATAATGTCCAGAGGCAGCCCTGAAGCAGTTGCTCTGTAACACTTTTCAGTGAACGGCTTCCTCTCCAGGCCAGCTTCCACAGGGTTTCTACAGGTAGTGTCCTCCAGCAAGTTTCCTTAAGTCATGCTACCTTCGGGCCCTCAGCCATAGTATCTGCTGAGGCCTAATGACAGTAGTTCCTCTATATCACAACAGGCTTCCTCCCAGAGGTGGGACTGGAACCCCAGGAGAAAGAGAGCTCTGATCAGACCCTCACAAACATCTTCTCAACAGACATTCCTTCTGAGCCTCCCTCCCAGAGATTGGCCAAGGTCAGATAAACATTCATAATTAAGCGATTGGCCCTCCCACAATATTAATGGCACATTCTAGACAGGTAGAAGCCACCCACCAGGTATATGGATTAACCTGATTAAACCTAAAAAATAAATAGCTACTCATCTAGTTACAGCAAGCTGTACACTATATTTAGCCAGCCCAGGGCAAGGGCACTACATAAATAAAAAATGGCAACTTTTAACTTACATGAACACAAATTGAGATTTTATATAATTTAATATCCAGTTACTGCAGAGTACTTATCACTTGACATTGAGGTTTTTCTTTTTTTTTTTTTTTTTTTAGAAAAGATTACCTGCGGTAATCTTGTAGGATCAGTAATGTGTAGACCTGCTTATGTAGTCCACCACCCTGGACAAGCTAGGAAAGTAAGCTTTGATGTCTGTTTTGATATGCCATGCATTTAGGCATGAATGTATAAACATCATTTATTGCTGAAGTGAAAAAATAAACATACCTGACAATTCAACACATACAATAATAATTGCTTAAACAGTGCATGTATCCAATGCGTTACATGAAACATATTTGCATTGATGGCTGAGTTCCTGCACTCACATGGAATATTAACTTTGGTTTTCTACAATATTTTATCAGCCAAAATTTACTCCTGTTTAAGACACAAATTATTCCACCTACGACAGCTGAACACTGCTTCAATAAACGCGGTTCTCCGTCAAACTCTCAACCATCTCCCTGTGTATCCCAGGCAACGCCGAGGCTACAGATAACTGTGCAGTAAGGTCACAGAACACCACGCTGTATAAGACTTAAATGGGCTTTTTTGTTTCATTTTTTTTAGGCACATGTCGACATTGCAGAGCTTGGACTGACAGGGTTAAAAAGCTTTGTAGGGATTTGTTTTTGATTCACAAATAACATTTCAACATACTATATTCTACCCGGAAAGTAAATCCCACTTATAAAATGTACCAGAAGGAAGCAAGTGCGCTGGTGGTACTCAGATAAGCAAGCACAGCAATGTGCAATAATCTTCCTGAGGATCAATCCTTCTAGGAAACAAAGCATTTTTACCTTAGCAAAAACATATCTTGCAATACATATTATTCTTCATATGACCTGGACACTTGACAACCAGTAAAATATTTTTTCCCTTATACAAAACGGAAAAATCACACACATAAGCCAATCAAATATAGCAGAGCAATGTCTAAGGTTATGTTCTACATATTAATGAGTACCATTCTGAGAGATCAGTAAATATCCAGTGAACGTGAACACGTCCAAAAGGGCATTTCAGAATAATACGCCTTGAATGGTGGAAGAAATGGGGAAAGGAGGGGGGGATGTGCAGAGTGGCAATACTGATTGCTTGCACTTTGATCCATTATGGCTGAGATGTGAAAGAACTGGGTGGCTTCTTCACTAATTGTATGATAAAGTACACGATAAGTCACTGAATCCTGGTTAAGTCAGTATAAAGGCTCAAAACCACCACAGGCAATGCACTTATAATGTGTTTTTTTTGATGATTGCAGCACTGAGTAGATTCTTAGTTAAATGCAGTCTGAAAATGAAGAAGAGCTAAAATTAAAAATAGTACAAAGTCAGTATCTAGTGGGCTCATTGGGGAAAAAAGGAATATTGCAAAATCTGCACTAAAAGCTGCTGTACAACAGACAATGACGGCATGCTTTCAATGCAGCAGCTTTTTGCATGCTGAAACATTCTTATGATGTAAGAGTTGTTGGTGGTGGTGGGTTGGGGTTGCTTCCTGTTCGACACTCTTGGAAGAGTTGATTATGATGATTATTATGATTACCGCCCTTATGTCTATGCTTTACGTACTGTATCTAAAATCTAAACTTTCTTTTAATTTTGGTCAGCATATGCAGTGGTTAAAACCCCTTTCAGAATTTCTATTTGCCACCTACTGTTTGTCCCATTCAAGGGGTTTTGCTTCCTGTTCTTTTGACACAACAGGGCTTTAGAGAAAATCTCTTCAAAGTATGGTACATCCACTCTTAGACAGTTGTCACCAGAACCAAAATCCCTGTTGGAAGATTTTTCCCTCTTCCTGTTCTGGAGGAAACTCAAAATTTTCGATTGTCTCCAATGTCAAAGCAGGCTAATCTCTAATACCTCTTCCTGATTTACCACTACTGAGATGATTGTCCTTTCGTTACTGCCTTGTTT